TTACCCTGCTGCCATGCCGCTGCAAGCTCTCCCTGCCGCTGCAAGACCTTCTTCCTCACCGCAGCAACCCTCCACGTCGTGCAGCCAGAACCGCGCCGTGAAGAATCCCACCGTGCCGCTGCCAACAGTTCCCTCACACCGTGACGTCCCAGCGCGTCGCGAAGTCCACGACCAGAAGCTGCTTTCTTCCCCGTCGCGTCGCGAAGCGACGCCACGCCGCGCCGCGGCAAGCTCAACCCCGCGTCGTGCTGCCATGCCACGCCGTGAAAGAACCTCTCTCTGCGCCGCGACAAGTACTTCTCCTCCGCGCTGTGAGACAACCGCTGCGCCGCGGTAGAACCATCCCCCACGCCGTGAAGTCCCCTCGCGCCGCGAGCCCCAGCTACTGTTAAATTCAAGATCGCAGATTTTCTCCCGCGGCCGCGACTTCGCCTTCCCCGCGGCCGCGGCGATCAAAAAGGTTCCAAGTCGCTGAACTTCAGAGCTAAAAACCCGCGGCCTCGGGACGATTCGCGGCCACGGAGCTGATCTTCGTCGCGGCCCGCGGGCCTCTCCGCGCCCGTGAATTGCGCGTTAGCAGATTTTTAAAAATCTGATGCTGTGAACTCGTGAGACATTATTCAGCCTAGGTTTGGAATATATTTTCTCGTTCCTGAGCTTCCAAATGTTTTTTTTTTACTTTTCTTTTGATAATTTTGCACGTAAAACACGAATTGGATTTTGGATTTCGCTATTTCTTGGATTCAAGCTTGTTTATCGGATTCAACATTCAATTTTCATTAATTGTAAGTTTTTCTTTTCATTTAATCAATGGATGTGTTTGCTTCGATTATGATGATTAATGTTGTTAATTCGATCATGAGTAGCTAAATCCGTAGGCTAGGGACAGGGGATTGATGTTTCGGAATTGTGTGTGATCGGAAGTGATCGTTGATTGTTCTTCTTATGCGAGTTAATCTTTAATTAGGGTTTTTCAATCATTATGTTGGATTTTGAAAATTGTTGAAGGGTGACACTTCAACTTGCAATTGTTTCAATTGAATTTGATATATTCATGCTTGATGTTGTTAATTCTAAACGGGCTAGTTGATTATTTACCTTCTAGTCTAAGTTAATCGACTCTTAAAACCGAAAGGGGAGGTGTCGTTCGAATTAGGCTCGCATAAGCTAGACTTGTTCGTAACTGTATTGTCTATAAGTTAAATGATTCGATAATCTGCCGTTCTAGTTTGTTCTCTTGTTACGAAGAGTTATTGAGAATGAATACTTGGACGTGTCGATTATTCAAATCACTTAACTGAACAATCACTTGCTTGATAATCACATTTCGAACCGAAACGGATATCCCCGACTCCGTAGCTTCTCAAATCCTATTTGTTCCTTGTTTTCTCTTGCTATTTAATTTGCTTTATTCGAATTTCAATAGTTGATAATCAAAAACATCCAATCTCTGAATTAGAGTGTTTAGGACTTGTTTCTTATTTCTTGTGTTTGATTAATCGTGCAATTTATTCCGGCTGACCTTCCTCGTGATACGACCCGATGTTCGAATCTTTCGATTCTACTCCGGTAAAAATATTTACAACATATATCTATATAGATACAATAAAAAATACAATATTTTTATATAGTTCAGTCGGTTTGGTTATTTTGCTTTTTCTTTCTTTTTTTAACCGAACTGAAACAAAAAAATTCTTGATATATGTGAAAATGCATTGTGATGCTAATGTGTGTTCTCGAAAACATTAATGTGCATTAAATCTAACGTTGTTGTGCAGTATGATAATCACTAATGTGCATTTTTTTAGCTCACATTGTGCATTCTGTATCGTGGTTTATTTTATATGCAAATTCGAACTAACACCAAATCGAAATAATCATTTTATTCGATTGGTTAACCGAATTAAACTAAATAATCAAAATAAATTATTATTTATGTATTAAAATCTATTTATTAATTCAATATTTTTATTATTTTATATACTTTATTTGATATTCTTTATAATTTATTATTCTCATATATATGTATAAAAAATATATAAAGTATAAAAAAATATATAAAGAATAATGTTTATAAAGTTTTTATAAATAATAGATTTAGCATATGCACTAAATTGAAATATAAACAAAATTCTTAAATTGCTAATAGGTTCTTGCAAATCATCATATTTTCAAAAAAAAAAACCCCTCAATCCCAAATGGGTTTTTCAGTTTTATTCCGACAAGACAAGTTGTCCGGACGTTCTCAGCCCTACGAAGACCTCAAGCCAGTTGCCCGACAGTTTATCGCGAGCTGCTCGGTCGTACATCGCGAGCCACTCCATCGTTCATCGCGAGCTACCAGGCCTTTCTCGGACTCCATCCTTTCCACCCTAGAGCTGCATTGTCGTTCATCGCGAGGAAGATGAACACGAACCAGGTGGTCGTGCATCCTATGAAAGCGTCGTCCCTACAGACGGAGGCTGTGGGAACTTGCTGCTACCGCGAGCGAGGATGATGGATTTTTGTGGATGCAGGGACAGTTGACCAGTGGTCTCTGGCAGCTGCTGTTGAACGGGAGAGAAACAGTCGGGTAGAGGGATGACAGCGCGACAAAGGCTGATTGGTGGCACCGGCGGCGGAGAAACCGCCTATGTGTGTGTGTGTGTTGTGAGCAAATGTGTGTGCATGTTATGTGTGTGTGTGTGCGTGTGTTGTGTGTGTGTGTGTGTGTGTGTGTGTGTTTGGCGTGTGTGGTTGTGTGTATGTGATGTGTGGTTTGTGATGTGCCGTGGAACCCACCAGTGAGTAGGTTGGTTGGATGGGTAACGATAATGTCCAAATTGCTCTTAATGAGTATAATATTTTAATTTTTTTAGTTGTTTAATCATCCGATATGGTGACTAAGATTTATTTTTATTTGTTTTTCACTGAACACAATTCTCACTTAATCGTGGCCATTACCCATCCAACCAACCAACCACATCACCACACACACGCACGCACACACACACACAACACATGTGCACAAACACACACACACCAGCTGGCACTAGAGATGTTAAACGGGCTAGCCCTTGCAGTTTCCGGTTGGCCCTAGCGGGCTTCGGGCTAAACGGTCCGGGCCTAAAAAGCCCAGATTTAAACGAGCTACCAGTAAAAGGACCTAACCCTAACCCTAGCGGGCTTCGGGCTAAACGGTTTAAACGGGCTATAATAATAATAATATATAAAAAAAACATATAAATAAAAATTACAAGCGGGCTTCATGTATGAACACTAGTTACAAACTCTTAAGTGACATGTTTTTCTCAAAAGAAAAAAAAATGTTCGAACTATTACTTATAATTACCATTTTACTATTTATTTTTGTACGCTTTGGAAATTTCCACGATATTGTATCTTACTGCTGAATTTATATTTTATCACTATGTTCTATGTGTTAGGTCTTTGTTTCACGTGTTTTCTATTAGCCATTCTAATTGGCTTAAATAATGTGGTGTGAAGTAGAATAACGAAATTGTTAATAATTATCTTTCAAAATCATAATAACCGGCTACAACTCATAGTTACATATGAAATAGAATAGTAAAGTTGTAATACACAAGTTAAACGGGCTAGCCCTAGCAGGCTTCGGGCTAGCCCTATCGGGCTTCGGTCTAAACGGTCCGGGCCTAAAAAGCCCTGATTTAAATGGGCTACTAAAAAAAGGCCCTAACCCTGTTTTTCTTCGGGCTAAACGGGCCGGTCCGTCGGGCCAAATACCGTTTAACATCTCTAGCTGGCACACACATATACACACACACACAACACACACATACACACACACACACACACACCAAATACACACTGCTTCTAATACACACCGAAACACAGTTTCAGAGCCCATTGTCTTCTCCCAAATCTCTCGCGACTGAAAACCTAGCTCTTCCGTCCGGCGTTTTCTTGCCTTCCTCGTCACCGTAGACGCTCGGGCCAATGGTCGCCTCCGTCCCTGAAGTCGCGAGCTCCAATTTCTCAGCAGGTTCTTCGATGGAGGTCCGCCCATAGTTGCCGACGCAGTTGCGTTTGCTGTGGTGCGCCTTGATAGGAGTCTGGTAGTCCTCCCTTCTTCGCCGGCGGTCCTCGATTTGAGTGGTTTGCTCGATATTCTACTGGTTTACAATTGGAATCGGCTCTGCCGTTTCAAGTGTGGATTCCGGTGAGGTTGGGACCCTGGTTGCCGGCTTTCTGTGGTGGATTGGGTTGCGAGTGCTTCAGTGGGCGGGTCGGGACCCTGTCGGCTGCGACGTCTGGTGGTGTCGGGATCGTCGGAGTAGTGGAACCGAGCAGTTTTCTCCCCCTGTTCTCTGGTGCTGGGGACGGCGGGGGTCTGGATCTCCCGAGCTTATTCTAGTGGTGTTAGAGGAGTTTGGGTAGTGACAGTGTGGGGAGCTGGTTCGTGTTCTCTCGGTCGGTGGTGAATTGATTCGAGACGGGTTTGGGGCTTGGGTTCGGCTTCTGTATAGGCGGTTCCGCAGTTTCGGTAGCAGTTCCTCGGGCTCGGGCTCTTTTTGGATCGATTGTTTCTCTGCTTGCTTGGGCTCGTTGGTTAGCTGGGAAAGAGCTTTCTCTATTGATTTATAATTTCTTGTTTTAGTTTTCGTTGTTTTGAGTCTGTGTTTGTAATACTTTTGGTCTTGTTTTTTAGGTTTGGGCCGTTGGCCCCAGTACTGATTCCCCTGTGGGGGGACGTTTCTATTCTCCTGTGGGGAGCGTTCGTAGTTGGTGTGTTGGTGTCTATTAGATTTATGTTGTGTGTATTCTATTCTAGCGTGGCTAGCGAGGCTATAGGCGGTCTTTCGATTCGTCCTCCCAGTTTCTAGTTCCTGGTTGTAATATTCAGCCGTGGGCTGCTTTTTTGCACTGTTGTGCATTTTGATCTGTAATATCCCTATCGTTTCGAAAAAAAACATTTCAAAAACATTTAACAGGTTTTGTTGGAATTTTTGAACGACACACTACTTCTAATATTGCTCGTTTAATTTCAAAGATCTTGGATAAATATAAAGTAAAAATGTGTTTTTCATTTATTTTGATAATGCTAGTGCTAATACTGCATCTATTCGTGAGCTTAAGGAAATTTGTACTTCCATTTGTGGGGGAAGATCTTTTCATAATCATTATATATGTCATATCTTAAATATTTGTGTGCAAGTGATTTATCGCCCTTTTTAAAACTCGGTCACGCCAATTAGGAATGTCGTTACTTATTTACATAAATGTCCCAAAGAACTGAAAGCTTGGGTAAGATTCTGTAAATCTGAAGGGTTTAAACCTAAAAAATTCCACCCGGACGTTCCTACCCGGTGAAACGCAACATAAAATATGTTAAGTGACACGCTTGGATGGCGCAGTTGGAGCATTTTATTGGGAGTGCTCAACATAAGGACTGTGAGTTCCGATTTACTTCGAATGATTGAGTGAACTGTAATGCACTTCTTTAATTTTTAGAAACATTTCAAAATCCTACTAGCATATTTTCTGGTGTATACAATCCTACTGCTCAACTTATGTTAAGTCAATCTATGGTCATAATGTGGCATTTTAAAGATATTTATTTTATTGTTCCTATTAAATATGGTGTTTTAGTAACAGACATGTTAAGAAAATGGTTAAAATATTATTAATTCATTCTCAATACATTTTTAGTTGAATGTTTGTTAGATCCTTCCGTACATGAAGTTGGCTTGATACACTATCTTCCCAAGTAGTATGATATTATGTATGAACTCCCAATTCTGACAAATGTCCCGATGTACAGTAAAAAACCTAACATGCGGGTGCTTGTCAAGCAAGCAAAGAATTTATTGTATGATTTATTTAGGGAAACAACAATTGGACTCGACGAATCTTCGAAGTCATTTGTTCGTGGCAGCTGCGGCGGGTCTTCTTCTTATGGAGGGGAATGTGGAACGTAGCAACCCCTAGAAGAATTCTAGCATCCAAAGGACAAAAGGGAGTAGATACTACGAGCTCGATCGCTATCTTACATTTTTGATACTTATGGTTGCTCCTGAACCAACTCTGCCACTCAATTTCGATATCATGAATTGGTGGTCAAGAATGAAAGGCATTTATCCTATTCCATGCTTGATGGCCATGGAGATTTTCTCCGTCCCAGTCTCAACAGTTGCGGTCGAGCATGCATTCAGTGAGGGAGGTTACATGCTAGATCGAGGTTGACGCCACGAAATCCAGAGGCACAAATGTTGCTAATGTATTGGAAAAAAGCCAAACGAATGATGCAAACGGTTATGCTTACTAATGAAGAGGATGTAGACGACGACGCGTCCGATTTTACGAGTACGATGAGTGAAACTGAGACCGCCGAAGACGACTACAACTTTTAGAGCCAGCCACCTATGATAAGTAAAGTAAGAGAATTACATGGACTTTGATTCTCAAGATAAGAGATACGTAGGGAACTTAATTGACATTTATAAGTTAAAATGTCATTTTAAAAAAAAAATAAAAAAAAATCTTCATATTTTAACTTATTCAAAGTCAATTAAGCCCAGGTCTTTTTTTTACCATTTTTTTAATGTCAACTTAAATTTATGATATGTTTTAAATTTTCTTTTCCAATCTTCATTTATGATCTGAATTTTCTTCACATACTGACTATTCTTGAATACATTAGCAAAATAGCATCTCACTCCAATATTTTAACTTATTCAAAGTCAATTAAGGACTGATGACCGTCCTTTCTCCTGTTCAAACTCAACTGGAAAAAAGGTCATCAACAGTTCCAATTTCCAACAATTAAGTGCCAAAATGTGTGTTATCATGTCTAAAAATTATAATAATTAAGATGCAATTCAAAGAGCATGGATTTAACATGGTCATGTATCTTTGAACTATACTAGTTATTTACATCTCACCTGCAGTTGCTAGAGTTGTTCATAATTGAAAACGAAATTTAGCAGATGAATGTGGTATAAGAATTGTCCACCATTTCAAAAAAGGAAAATGCTACATGTACATAATAAATGTACATAGAGGTGTACATAACTCTCACATGGTGTGAGGTCCACTTGATTTTTTATTTTTGATGGGTCCCACTCAATATGAGTATTATGTACACCATTATGTACAATATTATGTACTTGTAGCATTACTCTTCAAAAAAACATTATGAGCTTCAAAAACATGTGTCCGATATTCAGGGGAATTGTCCTTGAATAGTCCGCTCCGCCGCACACGGCTCCATCACCGTCGTTACTTTTTTAAGTGCATAGTGACGTTAATAACCATTCTGCTCTTTGGATCCTCACCACCAATTTTCACTCCAACGCATTTCAGAAGTGCACCATCACTGTAATAATATCAATTACGCAATGATGTCACGTCCACAGTCTCCATTATGTATCATGTTTCCAACTCTCTTATACGCCCACAATCGAACAATAAAAAGAATGCTCACGCATACTGACATACAAATTTTTCAGAACTAGAATTTGCTGATGTTAGTCTTCGTGTACTTTTTCTTTATTGCTCTATTCTAGGCGTATAAGAGAGTTGGAAGCATGATACTTAATGGAGACTGTGGGAGCGACATCAGCGTAATTGATGTTGCTACTTTGATGGTGAACTTTTGAAATAATCTTATGATTTTTGAATGTTAGGTTATTTTGCTTTTTAGAAAAAAGTTCTTTTTATTATTTTTTGAAATTAGAAAAAAAAAAGGCCTAGAATCGCCGGAACCGGCCCAAGACCGGGCAAGAAGCGACGGTTCGAGCCATTTCGAGCTGGTTTATTGAACCGGCCCATACATATTCCAGGCACATGTTTTGTAGCCCGACGATCCACAGGGCCGAGCCGAATCACAATGTCTATGTGTAAAAATATTTGATTAGTATTATATAATTATATTGATGATTTTGATGATAGTGAGATTAAGTTAAAGTTGAGTTAAATTTTGAGTATGAATTGAGTTTATTTGTATACAAACACACCATTAGGCTCAACACATTCGAAAATTATGTATAGTGAGATTAATATAATATAATATACTTTTATACAAACACATCATTGGGATCAGCGCATTCAAAAATTATATATAAGAGACTTAATATAATCCCCCCTATATATTAATTCAGAACGGACTGAGCCTACGTGACTGCTTCTGGTGCTTCGGAATCCTATGTGGCAAAATTACATGCTTCGATATTAGGCTTGGGTAAATTTTAATTTAATTTCAATCCAAAAATAATTAGGTTCGGATTACCATAAATATGTTGATTATTTATGGTCATGTCACATGTATTAATTACATTTTAATATCAATCCTTATTATAACTATTGAATTGTATATATATTTTAAAAGTTAATAACTTTTGTAATTTTTTATCAGTTTTACATATGTAATATATTAAATTAATCTTCTTTTGATGAACTTCGATTTAACATCCATATTGTATGTATAAAAAAAATAATTTATATTTATCTTTATAACAATAATAAAATTTTTTTAATATTAATCAGAAAAATAAAATTATTTATCAACTAATATATTTATATTTCAAGTAGTTATATGATATAAGTTATAAAAACTAATATAATATAACACATGTAAGTCATAAGTAACACATATCATTCTAAAATATATAGTAATATATTTTTTTTGTAAAAAAGTAAACTAAATTTAGTATAGTTTTCTTATTAATTTTAAAATTTAAGAATAATTTTTTAACAAGCACCGTGTAATACACGGGTGTTGTACTAGTGTAATAAATTTTGAAAGTATTATACTATTTTCCAATAAAATGGATAAAAACAAGTGACAAGAAAAGCACACCTTAACTTAGATGCGATCCTTGATCCACTTTTGCTAGGAAGCCAATAAATGGCTCCATAGTAGATCAAATCTCTACATGCAATAAGTAAATTATATCAAATTTTCTGATTACTTAAATAATAGTAATAATTTTATTAATATGATATAGTTTACTTAATATATATATATAGAAAATTGGCTCCACTATAGAGTTTATTGTTGACTTCATAGCAAAACTGTCTTGATATCCTTCTTACTACTTACTTTGGTGATAGATGGGATTCATAAATGTATAAGAGGCCAAGTTCTATAACTGACAATCCGGGTAGAAATCAAGGAACCAATTTACATCATACAACAGATAGAACCCCTTCCCCAGCTTTGAAAATAAAATAAGAGCACCGTTACGATGAAACTGTAGGTGGATCTCTAAGAACTTGCTGCAACAAGCGCGCCGCAAGACGCTGAGTTATTCCACCAACCACACGCCCACCAAGAACTCGTGCTTCAGGTTCTCGCAGTACCTGAATTTTAAACTTTCAAAGATAGTCCAGGTATATTGCTTAAATAAAATCAAAGAGACCCATCCTATTCGCTATCATTCAGCGACTAAACAGCAAGTCAATGATAAAAACCTGAGGGGGATCATAATCTAAATACTAGGACCAGCAACATTAGTATAACAAAAATGAAGTCAACAAACTTTCCTCTGTCATAGCAAATGCTTAACATGAAAATTTATTTGTAACACCAAGATAGGTCAGTAAATTAATCCGAAATAAATTGCTTTCTCTATCGTTTTTTTCCCATGTCCCACAAGTAAAATTCAAGGTCCAAGTGTATCCAAAAGATCAGATAGTCTGAAGTATAAGAGAAACACTCACAATGTTGTCTTCTCGGATATAAATATCTACAGCGAGAAGTACATAAACAAGCGTAGATTTCTTTCAAAAATTTTCCCAATGCGACGGCAGGTCGATGTTAGACTGGTAAAAGTTAAAAAGGAAAAAGAAACAGAAAGAGAAGGAGTGAAGGACTAACACCAAGATATTAATCCTGCATGGAAATGTATTAATTCCAAAAGCTTGATACAAGGTTTTTAAGAGGGGTCGTATCCATAAGTGTAAATAAGAAATCAAATGATTAGTAGAGGAATCATGTTATCTTAAAAAGTATTTAAAACACGATGTTACAGAGAAGGAATCCCTGAATGTTTACTATTGGTAGTACCACGCATACAGCAGACTGATAAGTGACAAGTCGTAGCAACATCATCAATATGACTTAAGGAAATCACAACTCCGGCGAATGTAAGGTTTATTGGAGTATTACCCAAAAGGTAGTGCTTTATTGGAGTATTACCCAAAAGGTAGTGCATCAACTATTTGACCTACAACAGATTCTTTTTTCTTTCTGTTTTTATTTTCGCTTCTTTAATGACAACATATGTTCCATAACCAACAACAGCTTGAGTTCTATACCGAAATATACAAAATAACTCACAAATTTCCAAAAACGAGTAACAGCATTTCATCTAGTTTAATTTTTTCATGACTAATTTATACTATACACTAACAAGACTTAATTTATTTTCCTTAAAGTTTTTTTAGTTAATTCAGGCCTTAAAAATAACAGTACTGTACTCCTGTAAATAACTAAATAACTTCAATAGGCATATTAGTGTCTTACCTGCAGTATAGGCAGCAAAAAACTAGGATCAAAGTTATCCGATGATCGAAGAAGTTCCCATATTCTGAATACTTGTGCCCTAAGTTCAACCATGTTTTCCTGTTCAGCACTGCTCATTACCAATGGTCCCGTTGAGTTCACATTAAAAAGAAGCAAACGTATAGGATCTGGGATATAGTTATATGATTCGACCACTGAGCCCAGGATAACGGCTTCAGTAATGCGGACAGCTTCTTTAATTACTAAAACCCTAAGTTCTTCACCATCTGGGCCCAATAATAGTTTTAAGACAGGTTGTAGAGCATCTTTTGCATTGAAATCTCTGTCCTTTTTTCCCTGGACAAGCAAGTTTTCAAGTCTATTCCACCTGTAGCAAACATTAACTCAAGTTTCTACATTCAGGAAATTAATAAAGACAAATAACTCAACATGCAAGCAGAAAAAGAAGAAGAAATAATCCAGATCATCAAACATGCCTGAATCTGCCATCCTTAAATAGCAGCTCAATAAGAGCATCTCTGAGATATGGATTAGGATCGGTCAGAAGCCTTTTAGCGAAATATGGATATGAGGCAGCCAACACCTTGAAATTGGGGTCAGCATACAGGGCTAAACCTTCTAGGACAGTGAGAGACCTCAAAATCAAGGCATAATATGCAGGCACTGCAAGAATAAGTAACAATAATTAGGGAAATACAAATGAGAATTTTGCTTTATAAAGCCTCCTATAGCTTGTTACAACATAGAGTCAGCATAGAATGAGCACGAATGATTACAGGAACTAAAAGGTTATAACACTGCTTCCTATTATTGGACAAAGAAAGTTGTACGAACTATATTAGAAAGCACAAATATTTCGTGTTACCCTGCTACAAGACTCACACAAGTTCAGACTAGGATTTGGCCTAACAATGCAACAGATCACACTCATCACAGGAATATGATCTTTTGATGGACAAATTTCGTCATGCAACAATTCTAGGCATTATAAAGCCATGCAAGTCTAATTTAGAGCCTAAGTGCAGAAATTTGGTCTTATAATAAGCTTCTTAGCACCTGTTTTGGTTCAGCACTAAATTGATAACTATTTCTTCTGTTCATAATTCAATTACAGAGTATTCCACCTTTAAACATTGACAAAAGCAACATTTAAGTTATGGAATCATGTCTTTGGCCACTGTTCATCAACCAAAATACAATGCCTTGGGCATCAAATTTTGTCTCCCGATCATTTCTCCCCTGTTCGGCCCATGTTTTAACCCTTGTAATATTGCATCGACCAATCAGTCACACGTGAAAAAACTTAACCAAAAAAATGCTCCACCAAATGCAGTAGCACTTGGCACATAGGACTCCTTTCATTTGAAACCATCACATACGAAAAGGGAAATAGAGTCTCACCATTAAATGGATATTGGTATAAAACAGCACTCAAACCATCCACAATGGTTTTAAAGTTGAGCTCACTCACGGTTGAATTTAGTGCATCGTCAAAGAAGTCCCTCAAAGCTGGTACAATGGGGGATACATCTACATCCGGAGACAAAAAGTCTAGAGCATAGTAATCACGTGCCATGGCTTCATAGTCCCGATTAACCATGTGTACAACATGACCAATTATGGCTGATCTTGCTTGTTCAGGAGTCTCACTCATCATTCCAAAATCAAGAAAAGCAAGCTTCCCATCAGGGGTAGCTAAGAGATTCCCTGGATGAGGATCTGCGTGAAAATAACCGTATTCTAGCAGCTGCCGAAGACTGCATTGTATGCCAGTATTCACAAGATCCAGAAGGCTGAGCCCTTGTCTCTCAACAGCATCTTGCTCGTTTAGTTTAACACCTTCAACCCAATCCATTGTTAGCACCTTTCCACTTGTGTAATCCCAGAATATATCTGGGACAAGGACATCTTCCTTGTCTGCATACAATTTTTTAAATCTCCTTGCATTTTGCCCTTCCTGCATGACCCTGTTAAAATTATCATTCAAAACTAGCAGCTTTCTAATCACACAAGATACAACTATATTTAACTAGCATGGACCTAACCACTGGCTAAATACCAAAGTGTAGATCTGGGTATGCTTCTAGATCAAATAAGAATTGCAAATGCTTCTATAGCATAAATAACGTCAACAACTAACCTGAACATAGTTGAGCTCCTGATAAACTCTTCGAGCAAATTCATCAATAAGAGCAACAACATCACTTGATACAAAGTCAACATATTTATTTATGAGAAACCCCAAGCCTCTTATTAGGTAAAAGTCCATCCCAATAGCTTCTTCAATTCCAGGCCTTTGTACCTTCACAGCAACAACCTGCCCAGAGCGCTTCAAAACTGCTTTGTACACTTGGCCTAGACTGGCAGCAGCAATGGGGGATGCGGATATTGAAGAGTAAATAGAATCAAGTGGACATCCCAACTCTCTCTCGATGCATGAAAATGCTTCTGCGTCTGGGAATGTAGGCAAAGCATCCTACTCCAACATAACCAATAAAGATCATAATGACATGGAAGCTCGACTAATAAGTAAATATCATGAAAACAGGTCTATGATGACTCCTAAAGTGTTTTTCTTTCCTTGGCATGCTTATTTGTTTCGTGCATAAAATTACTTTCCTCGACCAAGCACTTCAACAATACACGGATAAATATAGAAGATAATACTCATATTCCATCTATTCTATTCCGAGATCCTTCTGGCTAACTGATTTTCCCATTCAAATATGAAGAGCCTTGATAGTAACGCATCGGCTATGGATTTTTATAGCTTCCACCTCGATTTTATGTTCTTTAGATTCGAAAAGCAGTAAATTTCTCAATCATGAGAGTGGTAGATATTAGCCCGATTTGATGAAAATCGGCCATGTCCTTGGTTTAATCCTTGGAAAAAATGGAGTAAACAAGATCCAAATGAATCAGAAATAACCAATGAATGGTGATTACTATTAGATGACTATTGCAAACTTCCCATGAAAAAACCATGGCCGATAACTTACTATCAAAGTTACTTCATATTGGAATGAGAAAATCAGTTAGTCAAAGCTCTTGGTGGTGGGAGCCATTATTTCCTCAATCACGAGTAAATACCTGCAACTGAGAAAGCTCCTCAAGATATTGGGGTGGGCACAAGTCGGGCCTGGTAGATAAGCTCTGGCCAATCTTGACAAAAGTGGGCCCCAATCTAATGAAAGTTTCCCGCAGCTGAACTGCACGACGTCTCTGGTTCCGATCGAGTTGGTCATTGACTTGGTCGAGCCACAAGCTGATGGCAAATGAACCTAATCCCGAAAATATCTCCACCGCCCTGCGCGCCACCTTAATCGGGCGCGAGCCGTATTTGGTGGCCAAGAGCTCCGGGCTGTAGACGGAAGCGCCGGCCGCGCGGGCCATGGCCGCGGCTTCCGCTTGCATATCATCAGCTCGGTCTCGGACGGACGGCACGGGAACCAAGACCGAAGTGTCTCTCTCTCGCGAGAGGGCTACGGCGGCGCTTCCATCG